CCCGTGCTCGAGTCGCGCTTCACCGCGGCCGCCTTTCGCTCTGCGTACACACCGCTCGTCATCTTCCTGGCAGCCTGGACGGCGATTCATTTAATTCTCGCCGCCGTCTACCCGGCCGTCAGAGACACGGGCGTGCTGACGGCTTTGGCCGGAGCTGCGCTTGCCGTCGCACGATGGAGGCACCTCGGGTGCTTCCTTCCTGCCAACGCTTGCTCACTCCCTCACAAAGACCGTGCCTTCTTCACAGGGCGAACCGCATGGCGGACCAGCAGCGCGCGCGCAAGCTGTTTGGCGCCGCGCTGGTTGTGATGCACGCCTCGGCCTGGGCCGCGCTACTGCTCATCTTCCGTGTCCACCCGCCCGAGCCGGGCCACCCCGGCTTGGTGGTGGCTGGTGGGGTGCTGTGGTTCCTCGTCTCTTTCTACCTGCGCCACTCGGCCACCCCGTGCAGTCGCGCGCCGCAGTCTCCAATCCTTCTGTGATGAGCCTTCTCTGCACCTCCCACAGGCCATCCCGTGGCAGTCGCGCGCCGCCTACGCCGCAATCAACGCGCGAGATTCGCCGAGATGCGAATCGACGCGCAGAGCACGGGAGAGGGCGGCGGCGATGGCCCGTTGGGGTAGATGGAATACCCAAACTCGGATCGAGCCCGCCGCAGGCTCTCGGCAGCGCCGTGCTGCCGCAGCTGTCTGTGCTTGGCCGGCCAGCGGAGCCTCTCCTGCTGGGCGGACCAGGCTCCTGCTCGGCGAGGTCTCCCGAGGTCGCGGTGCCACCGCCTCGAGGTGTCGCGTAGGCGGAGCACTACTGCTCGGCGAGGCGGCAGGCTACCTCCTCGAGCGGCGCATGCGACTCGCCTTCCTCGAGCGAGCCGCCGGGCGGCGCTCTCCGGCCGCCGCTGCTCCGCCCCTCCACCCGTGGACGTGTGACTTCCTAGACACTTCCTGGACACCTCCTAGACACCGCTCCGCCCCTCCACCCGTGGACGTGTGTGCCCCCCCTCCAAGTCGCTCGCAGCGCACATCAAGCCAGCAGTCGCGCATTGCTTGCCCGCCCAGCAGCCAAGCGCCGCTCCCCCGCGCAGACCCGCACCGCCCACTCCCCAGCCCCTCTGCCGACTCGGCCGCCGCCAGGCTGCGCTTCACCGACCCGGAAGAGGAGGCCGTCTACACGGCCAAGGCCTTCCGCTCCGCCTTCCCGCCCCTCGTTGTCTTCCTCGCCGTCTGGGCGGCCGTCCACCTGGTGTCTTCCGAGAACCTTCCGAGAACCTTCCGAGAACCTTACCGCACGCCGCCCCGCTGGCCACGCCCGCTTACCACGCCCGCTGGCCACGCCCGCTGGCCACGCCCGCTCGCCAGATGGCCGCCAGTCTCCCTGGCCCTCCTCGCGCCACCCCGCTGCACAGCCACCCCGCTGCACAGCCACCCCGCTGCACAGCCACCCCGCTGCACAGCCACCCCGATGCCGCGTTTGCCGTCAGATCCTCGCCGCCGTCTACCCCGTCGCGATCTCCCCGCTGGCACCGGACGCTTTCCCGCACACGACGGCCCGGCAAGTCCTCTTCCTCGCCGCCTGCACGCAGCTGTCGGGCCTCATTGCGCGCTGGCGGGCAGACCGCATGCAAGACCAGCAGCGCGCCCGCGTCCTCTTCGGCCGCGCGGTGCCACCCCCTAGAACCCTACACCGCTGCCGCCGCTGCCGCTAGCCGCTTCTCCGAGGCGGCTCGTTCTACTCACACTGCAGTGCGCTGCGTCGCGAGCGCCGCCAGCACCGCTTCGCGCCCCACACCCGTCATGTCCAGGACACGTCGAGGACATGTCCGAGACATGCCCCACGCCCGCCTCCCCACCGCCCGACTCACACTGACGGCCACGCAGGTGAACGCGCTGACGGCCGTCTCCTACGCAGTCACCCTGACGATCCTCCGGCTCCACCCGCCCGAGTCGGCAGCCCCAATCTACCTGTTTGGCCTCTGCCAGCTGCCCCCCTCCCTGCTCGTCGTCTACCTGCGCTACTCGGTGCAATCACACACGCTGCACACCACAGCGGCTCCACCGCCCCGCCCCGCTCTCGCCTCTCGTCTCTCTGCAATGGCTCGGACCATTCCTTCCACCGTCGCCAGTGCCTCGAGACACGCGCATCAGGCCATCCCGGACGCGCACCGGCTGGGCTGGCTCGCAGTCAACGCGCTCGGCTTCGCTGCGCTGCCGCCGCTCACCGACATCGGCCGGCCCGGGGAGCCGCTGCTGATGAGCGGCGCGCTGATGCTCGGCGAGCCCTCGGTCACCTGATGGAGATCGCTCGAGATCACCCCCGAGATCACCCGAGATTAGGCGCGCTGATGCTCGGCGAGGCGCTCGGCTACGCCTCTGGCGCAGCAGCTCGGCTCAGCATGCCCACGCCCACACGCCCACGGCGCGCCGAACTAGGCGCTCGGCTACCTGGTGGAGCAGCGCGTGCGGCTCGCCTTCCTCGAGCGAGACGCGGCCGTCCTGCCGGCGCCGCCTTCGGCCAAGGACATCGTCATCGACCGCGTCCTCGGCAGGGGCGGCCAAGGCACGGTCTACGCGGGCCGCTGGCTCGGCATACACGTCGCCCTCAAGGTGACGCGGGGCGGGCAGACGGCGAGGCGGCTGCAGGACGAGGCGCGAGATACAGCCGAGATACAGCCGAGGTGCAGCCGAGATCCAGCCGAGATCCAGCCGAGGTGCAGCCGAGGTGCAGCCGAGATCCAGCCGAGATCCAGCCGAGATCCAGCCGAGGTCCAGCCGAGGTGCAGCCGAGATCCAGCCGAGGTGCAGCCGAGGTACAGCCGAGGTGCAGCCGAGGTGCAGCCGAGGTGCAGCCGAGATACAGCCGAGGTGCAGCCGAGGTGCAGCCGAGGTGCAGCCGAGATACAGCCGAGATATGGCTGCAGGCCGAGGCGCGCCTCCTCGCCCGGCCCTGCGGCGCCCCACAGCGCTCCTGCCGGAGCCTCCTCGAAGCTGTCCGCAGGCTAGGTTCCTCGCGCGGCTCCGCCACCCGTCGGTCTGCACTCTCTTCGGCGCGACGGTCCTCTCGGACGGCGGCGGCGCGCTCGTGCCCGCGCCGACCACGTCGCGGCGCGTCAAGCTCTCCAGTGAAGCTTCTCGGAAGCTT